AGGAGGAGATCTTTGGGCCCATCCTGCCCATTGTGAACGTGAGGAGCCTGGATGAGGCCATTGACTTCATCAAGCGGCGGGAGAAGCCCCTGGCCCTGTACGCCTTCTCCAACAGCAGCCAGGTGGGCACGGCCATGCTGGGGACAACAGAGGGGCCAAAATGGGTATAGACTGGCCACCTTCCCTCTCACAGCCCTCCCTGGGGAGGCTTTGGGGAAGCAGATGTCTCAAATGTGACTATTTTCTAGGCTGCATGGTTTGACTGCATCCTATACAAGGACACCTGGCAGAGGGGGCAGAGGGGGAAGAGGAGGCTGGGGCAGGGTCAAAACCCACCAGGTGCATGGCCGGTCGGCTGTCCGTCCTGACTGAGCAGCCTCCACCAGGAGGAAGAGGTGCTTTTTTCTATCTGGCCTTTCCAGAGAGCCCCCTTTTCCTGACCAGTGCAACGGTTCTATGTGGGCAAGCAGAAGCCCTGAGTGGGTTGGGGGAGAGCAAGGGAGGACCAGGTCACAGGTGGGACTTGCACACCTCAGTGCAGCGTCTCATGGCCATGGGTTCCATGCTGCGGGTCTTCCTCCATCTTTGCATCATGGTAATAACCATCTTGGGCACCTAAACATCACTGAAAAGGTGTCACTTGTAGAAGGTGCCTAGGGGAGAGACGATTGTTCAGTCGGGGGTGGAGAAGGGCAAGGCATTGGAGATGCTGTAGTCCTCTGCCTCCCTGTGGGATGCTCAGGGCTCAAGCCCTCTTCCCCGATGATTGGAACCCATTACCCCCGCTCTTCCCCTTCCCCCCTCCCCCCCAGGTAGTGAACCAGATGCTGGATCGGACCAGCAGCGGCAGCTTCGTAGGCAACGAGGGCTTTATCTACCTGACGCTGCCATCCCTGCCACTAGGGGGAGTCGGTGAGTCTCTGCTCTGTCCCGCCCACAGCCCGAGGAAGCTTGGGTTTGTTACCCCAGACCCAGGAAGTCCCTCATTCACTGTTCAACCTTGATCCATGCCTTGGGCCTCTCAAGGCCTCAGTTTCCCGGTCTGTAAAATGGCTCTTAGAATGGCCTGGCTCTCTCTGAGCTCCCTGCCAGCAGTGCGGGCTTCTGGTCTGGGCGGTGGGCTGTGGCTGAGGCTGGAGCATAGGTCTGGATGGGCTGTTCTCAGCCCTTCACTTTCTGTGCCCATGCAGGCAACAGTGGGATGGGCAGGTACCACGGCAAGTTCTCCTTCGACACCTTTTCCCACCACCGCGCCTGCCTGCTCTCCTACCCAGGCCTGGAGAAGCTCAAAGAAATCCGCTACCCACCCTTTACTTACTGGAAGCAGCAGCTGATAAGCTGGGCCCTGGACTCCCAGAGCTGCACCCTTCTGTGAGCACTCGCCCCCTCCAACACCACAGCTTCAGTCCCTCTGTCTTGCGGCCCATGGCTGCTCGGCCCCTGACCTACCCTGGGCTGCCAGTTGCTGGCCCCATGCTCAGTCATCCCTGAAAGGCAGCTGTCCATTCCAGGGTGTAAAGATCCCACTCCTGGGGCTTTGTCTGAACAGATCCCTGGCTAGACAGGACCTCTAGATGGTCCAGTCCCTTTCAGGGCCAAAGTCCCCTCCGCAGCCTCCTGACAGATTCATTGACCTTCTGCTAAGATATGTCTGGTAATGGAGAGAGAAACCTGTCCCCCAAAGGTTGGGCAGATTCTGTGGTTAAAGAGAATCTATAAATTGTCAGATCTATAAATAGGATCCCAAAAGAGCAGTTCCTAACAGCTCCATTCATAACTGGTTTGGGGAGCTGGGTATGTCTGACCTAAAGTGATCTGATCTTGAACCCAGACCTGGCCAACTGGTGATATCTGCCTGAAATGTGTCATTGACAAGAATTCTGATGCTGCGTGTGGAATCA